TGATGAAAATTATTTTTTTTTTTTTTTTTTTACAATATAAAGAAGCTAATGTACCACCAAGCTATTTTGTAAGAAAAACGGTAGCAGACCAAAGAAAAAACCAAAAAAAAAGGGGGGGGGGGGGAAAAAAAAAAAAAAAAAAAAAAAACAACTTTTGCTGAAAGATGAGAAGTGGCAGTGAAAAGAAGTATCAGCAAAGGTGGTTTTCAGAGGGATGCTGATGGAAAGGCTTGAGACTCAGCACTCCAATGGAAAGGCTTGCTTCAAAGTGAACATTACAAAGATTATCTCTTCACATTGTTGGTGGGTCCCATATTCAAAGAGGCAGGAGAACAAGGGTGAGCCATCTGGCCCAACCCCCATGTACTGCAGATCAGAATAAGCACACAGGCCCTTGAAGAGGATGCTTGGTTTTGTCCAGTGTGCTGGATTTAAAGGGCTTTTGTTGAGGTAAATTCCTAAATCTCTTCGACCCTTTGGGTCTGTAGGATGAGCGTAGAGCAACCAACTATCTTGGCATCTGGCATCAGGGGGAGGTGGGAAGGCAGTAACACTTCCATGACATCCAGAGGGAGGTTCAACTAGCATTTCAACCCGCTGGCCTCCCTCAAAGTCCACCCCGTGGTTGTAGCTGACAGCCTGGATTCTGGCTCCCCTGCTGCTCCTTGCATTGCAGTAGAGGACCTTCCTGCCACAGGTGTGCACCTCTGCTACCTGGCACTCCACCGCGCTCTCCTCCCGCATGAAGTTCCCCATCTCCCACGTTGTCCCATGGTCCGAGCTGATGAAGCAGAAGGCATGAGGGGTGGGGTGTTGCTTAGGGTCCAAGATACGATAGGCATAGGCAGGAATCACAAGGCTCCGGGCCTCATTGAGCAATTGTAATCCGTGACCCGGCCCCACTGCAAAAGTGGCCCAGTTCTTGTACTCAGTGCTAATGGTACTATTGGTGACATCCTGGGCAGTGCTCCAGGTGCGTCCTTGGTCCATGCTAGTGACGTAGCAGAGACGTACCAGGTTGATCTTTGTCCTGAGCTGATGCTGCTCAGAGATCTTTCCTGGGACAGCTATGAAGAACAGGATCAGTTTCCCTGAGACTTCATCGTAAACAGGACAGGGGTTCATGGATCGGTGGTCTTTCAGCTGTGCACTGACAATGGTCTCCATGCTATTCCACTGCCGGGGCCCGTATGAAGGGAGACAAGAATGAAACACACTATTACAAATAGATCCATATTACAGTGTAAGGATGCCTGGATAGAAGTTACAGAAAAGCATGAGAAGAACAGAAGAGAAGCAAGTTAGTGGATAGAGCAAGAAATGGGAAGACAATATACCCGCATCACCAAAAATAAGCGAAAATTATTTGGATGACACTATGCACGTGCACTTCACCGAACAGGTGGGTTGTGTCCTTTTTAATTACTACTCACTGAGGAGCTGATAGCTCTGTATCTCAATGCAGCTAGTGTCCGATGACACCGTTTAAAAAACTACTGTAGCTGAATTTTCAGAAATTCTCACAAATATATATATATATGAGATACACAGACATGCCCAGTGGTCAAAGTGTGCTGGTACAGACACTGTGCTGCGTCAGTGTTTCTTAGGAAGTCAGATAGAAAACTGAGCCCTTTTCAAGTATTCTGGATGCTGACAAACTCCTTTCCGTTCAGACTCCTATTCCTCCATTTTGATCCGTGTGTGAATGGGCATCCCAGCCTACACTGGGGCAACTTGCTAGAGCTGATTGCATGGCTTTACACACTCTGGTGTGGAAATTTGGACCCCGAGTTGTTCGATGCAGGAAACAGGTCGCAGAGCAGGTATAACTACCCTCCAAGCCCTGCCTTTCTTTAAATGAATAGCACATAACACAATCACATTTCTAAAACACTAACATTGCAATTAGAAAATTCTTCCTATATAGTGTTATTGGCTTGGTAAAAGAAGCAGTATTTTCCAGTAAGATTATACTAATTACCTTTTCTACCCTGACTTGCTGATTACCCTTTTTGGTCATGTCTTATCTTTGTCTATTCAACCAGTATTAACTTTTTTTGAATATTTAATATTACCATTTTAAGAAACTCTAGCATGTAAGCAGAAATTACTAAGTTTATGACCAACTGAGTCCTACTGAACTGAATTACAGGGGGCTACACAAGATGTTACCTGAATGGTATGACACTGCAGGTGCGCTCAGAGGCTGCTCCTACTAGGCAGACTCCATCTCTCAAGAGTCTATAAGCTAAGACAACCAGTCACCAATGAAGGATTGGAATAGAAAAATATAATGACTTTTTTTTTTCCCCAAGACATTAATGCATTTGCAAATGCAAAAAATGATTATAAATAGAGTATCCACCACCCCCAGTCACCCAGCAAGATAACTGTTAATAATAACAACTGGTAGATTAATAAGGTAGCCAATTCACTGGCACAGACAAACCAGATGACACTCTTTTGCGTAGGGAGACTAGCTGTTCTCAATTGTTTTTTTAAACCAGAAATTAGTCCTAAGAAGATGAATTAAAAAAATAGTCACTGATTGCTAATTCACTCCTCCCTGTCCCTGAGGCACTCCTCATTTCTGCCTCTCCTCCACATCTTTGCTGCTGCAACAGGACTTTTGTCCCATCTCTCTATCTGCTTCCCCAGCTCTGCGATGATGGCTTCAAAGCCATCCCCAGAAAGTCTGCTGCACCTGCCTGCTTTAGTCCCCCTAACAGCTGCCCAATCATGGTGTTGAATCCCAGCAGTTATAATGACACATGCATTACCTATAAACAGATTTGTCTCCTATAACTGGGGAGAAGGGGAAGCTGCCCTCTCCCTACAGTGTGAGGGCAAACACATTCAACTCATCTGGGGACAGGGGAGCAGCACAGATGGGCAGTCTCCCCCCTTTTTTCCCCACACTAGTACCTGAACACTGTGCGTGGTTGGGTCATACATGCCTCTGCGCATCGCTATTAGCTTGGCGTGTTCATCCACCACATCCTCTCGTTCCTCAGCAAATGCCAGGATGATGCTGAAACGTGGCAGGTAGAGCAGAGCTGGAATTCGATAGCTCCAGGTACCGTTCTGGAACAACGTCTCTTGCTTCAAGACAGGAAACGAAGCCATCATGCTAGGGGGAAGAAGACAAAACGCATTGCATTTTGACCCACCCTTAGCCCTGCAAAATGTGACGGGGCAGATTCCACTGCTTTTTGCCCTCCCCGCTCGGTGGAACCCATCCTGCACTGAAACATAATTTCTGCTACTTTCAGCTTTGTCTTTTTCTTGTGCTTTTTCCAAAGAGAACCCACGTGTTGCATACTAGCTGGCATTCAGACTTACTCCAGGAACAGCCTGGTTGATCTTACTGGAGTGATGTAAGGTAAGTACACTAAATACAGTTAATGAAAAAGCTGTCTGTGGTTTGTTTTTTCTTTTTAATTAAATTCACAGGCTGGGATTTTTGTGGGTTTGCTTTGTAATTCGGAAGACTGTTGATAATCAAACATTATAGTATTTTCCCTCAGAAGACCATTACTGTCTTTGTCGATGGTGTTTCCAAAACCCAGCACAGAACTTCTGCTTTGCCAAATACGAGCTTAAAATCCCATATAAATGACACACTGAGGCAATCCCTGACCCCAGCTCTGCCCCTGTTTGAGGTAAGCACTGAGCACGAAGAGAGAAAGAAAGAGAACATCCCTCCCCCCGTAAGATTAAAGAACAGTCTGAATAGTGTCCCACCACATCAGGTGGGACTTCTGGCCAGGCAAAAATCTTGTCATCTGTACAGTGACTTAAAAGCAACATTAGGAAGGCAAACATGAGGGGGCATTTGGGGAAGCTGCCTCTATGTAACTGGTCTGTGCTATGCCCCCACATAGTCTCTCTTCCTCTCCTCAGACCCACTTAGTCCTCTGTCCTCTTGCACCAAGCCTCTCCTGTGAACCCATTTACCCTGGTAAAAACCCACTGGTTCAGGGGAATTATGCCTGAGCAGAGGGGTGGAAAAAAACAAACAAACAAAACAAACAAAAAAAGAAAAAAAGAAAAGAGAAAGGATCTCTGACATGGTGCACCAGAATCTGAAGGCCTGAATATCCTCT